CTCCATCCCCCTCCTCCCTCCCAATATGCACTTGGACCCAGGCTCAGGCTGCACCTTTTGTGTTCCACAGGGATAGGGGGGCCAGATGGAGGAATTTGATTAACCAGCAGTGGAGGACCAAATGTTCAATTGGATACAGAACCAGTTGGAAGACGGGAGGGAGAGAGGGATGAGGCGGGGGTAGAGGGAGAAATCTAAAATGGCTGGTCATGTATGCCGGCCAACACTTTCCAAAGGGGAGCCCAAACAGACACTGAGGTGTAGTAATGCAGAAGCCCTTTTCCAAGTACCAGCTGGGCCTTTTAGGAGCCTCTATCCCCACAGCAGACACTCCACAGCCTCCGAGCAGCTTGACTTTACCATATGTGGAACTTTTTTATGCTCCACCTGGTCTCCCCAGGGGACCTGTGCCGCTGGGACTCTGGAGGCAGGTGAATTGCTCTTAATGCAAGGCACTGAATCACTGGGCCAACAACATGAGGGAAGCGCCTAGGGAGAGGAAATGGATCTGTAGAAAGAGTGGCGCGGACTGGCGTGACCTTGGAGCTCACGTCTGCTTTAGAGCAGAAAATGGTGCGATGTGTCATTGTGCCTCCGTTCTCCACACGCCACTTCTTTACTGGTCTCCGCACTTGTTTTTTCTGACATTACAAAACATATTTTTATAATATCAAATCTGATCTGATCATATTTTAACAAAATCCTTCAGCTTTAATCATTTCATTTTAGATCCCTTCCATCTTTTTCAAATGTCCTGACACAGTTTATTATTCACCAGTTGAGAGTCAGTTAAATTCAGTCAATCAAACAAGCTAATTTTCAGACAGTCTAATATTTTCACTCTGCCTCTGACTATTTGAACATTGGGTTGTTGTTTCTGTTCACCCGCACACTTTTCACAGTCCACACCAACAGAACAGGCACTGTAGGTCAGATGAGGGATTTTTGCCAAGACGGTTTGGGTGTGGTCACTTTCTCACCTACACCTGTCTCACTGAGTCTGTGGCCATGCGCCAGAGGTCAGGGGTCACCACGGGGGGGCTGTCAAGGTCAAAGGTTTATCACTCTCTAAGGGGTCTTGGAACCATCACTCAGAGCCTACAGTACACACTCTCTGCCTGGTTGTTTTTTTTCTCTACCCCCACTTTTTTTCTAATCCTTCCAAATGGCTCAGGCAAAACTCCTGACAGCAGCAAGAGAAACAAACTGTGGGGTGTTGAGCTCTAAGCCTTCAGCTGGAGATTTCACTTTGAAAAGATTCCCTTTTACTCTCTGCCCTTTCCACCAATCAGAGGGCACACCAGAGTCCAGGCACCCAGAGCAGCTGCCCTCTGACCCTACCAGCGGTTGTTGGTTTATTTTGTTTGGGCGTTTGAGAGGGACTGGGGTTGCTTTTGACAGGTCAGGCAACAGGACTTGGATGAGGTCTTTAGCAAAGACAGCCAGAAAAAGGGGGGAAAAAATTGCAGGTTGAGAAAAGGCACAAGCTACCCCAAGCTAGTCTTGCAGTTACAGTATTGCGCTCGCGTTGCAGGATTGGTTGTCATATTCATTGAGACATGTGGAAAAGGGCCCATTTTTTAGAGGGAGGAGGGGGCCATTTAGGCAAAGTCAGTTCTATCACGCAGACAGAAATTCCATGATACTCCTGTTTATGCAGCTGTGCCCGATGATCAAATTACACCAACCCCCTTCTGCCCCCTTTTTCTGGTCTGCTCAACCCCCTTTGGCTTTGCCAGGAGCCTCACATAGGGCTCCCGCTCACAGGGGAGCACGCGAAGGTAGAGAGACATGAAGGGGCATGTAACCCGGAGTTTTACCTACCCGCAGAAGTAATTGGGGCAAAGCTATGAAACGTCCATGGGTCAGTGAAGGGCCCTGTCATGCGAGGGGCACATAGGGGCATGCACAGAAGGCACATCTCCAGAGTAGGAGTACTAACCGTCATGCCGTAGCACCAACTTTGACAGACCGCAGGGAATGGACCCGCCGCATCGAGCCTGTCAGCTGTTCCAGCAGTGTGGAGTGATCGTGGAGCCTTCCACTGGGACTGTATTACTGGAGACTTTTCTTTCTCTGCGTCTCTTTTATTTTTTGGGTGGGGAGGGCAGGGTTTCAAGTCTGTGTGGAAGAGGGGGTGTTGAGGGGTATAATTTAGAGCACAGAGGGAGCTTCGTTCTCTCCATCTTATGATTTGGAGGTGAAGACAAGCACCCTCGGGGGCCCCCCTGTCAGAGCTTTTGGGCGCGTTCAATGCAGACTTCAATAAAAACACACAAAAAGAATTCCCCCACAAGGGCGCCTGGCTGAATTGCTGACGCCAATGTAAAAGATTCAGTTTTCTGTGAATCATTTAGTACACGACCCTGAGCTCTCTGCACAACGTGACAATAACAGGAAACACCCCCCCATCCTCCTCATCATGGAAAAATTGGACTTGCAACAAACCCAGAGAATGTGGAATTATTTCTTTCAAACAAACATTTTTTCGATTACCTTCTGCCACTCCTCCGTTTTTCTCTTCCCCACCCACCATCCACTCCTCTTTTCTTTCTCCTTCTCACTGTATTCCTGTCATGACAAATGTCAAACACAGTCAGTTAGTAAAGAGTTTTTTTTCTTCTTTTAGGCAGCTATGAGCTTGCCAAGTCGAATGTGCGCTGGGACAACACTGCTGCAAAAGCATCACGCTGGAGCATCAGCATCAGATATTTCTGTGAAAGTAACAGAAATGTTTGAAGGTGTTGTCACAAGCTCACAGGTTCCCGCTGTTTGTGTGCACCGGAGGGAAATGGCGCCTTCTCAGCCCTTTTGTCTCCTCCCTCCCCATTGTTGTTTCTAAACTTATTTCTCTGTTTAGTTGTTATCACTTTTATTGTGGTTAAGAATCTCAGCATGGCTGCTTTTTGTGGATTTTGACAGAGGAGGTCGGTGTTATAGTCAGAGTTAAAATTAGAGGAGTTTCTATTCTGTGTGACTTGGAGACATGTCATCTTCTAAAAGCAGTGGGGAGTCTGTCAGTCAGAGCCATGGTGTGTTTTAATCATCTCTGTCCCACTTGGTGAGGCACTGACGGTTAGAGTGAGGGTTCCCTCCCCTGGACAATACCAGTATGCTAGATTCTCATACACTCTGATGTCAGACATAGCAACCAGTTAAGAAATATGAGACATTTCTTCCTCAAGTTAATCCTGCAAATTCAATGGGGGAATCAAGCAATGTCTGCTGTATCTGAAGACATGGCACAAGCGTCTTTGAAGGGTTTTGAGATCTTTCAAAGAAATGACAGCTGGAAGGAGATTGGCAACAAAATAGCTGGAGTTTGTCACTATAATAAGAGATGGAATAATCAAAACCCACGATATGTTAGAAGCTTAATGAGCGGGGGCTCCCCCCGAGCGAGCAATAATAATAGTGTTTTGTAATTCTATAGCCATTTTAATGATACACCGAGGAATTTTCAATCAGCATTTCTTTGTATGTAAAAGTAGGTTAGACAGCAAATCGCTTTTTTCCCCATAATGTAGCGGTGATATCAAAAAGCATATCTTCTCAATGTGATTCTTAGATAATATACATTCTCAAAGACTAAAAGCTCACCAAAAAATTAGGGTGCAGAGTCCCAGGACCCTGAGCCAAGTCACTGTATTCATTCCACCATACCCATCCAGCTCCCTTTCCTGCATCCCCTGTCTGGACATGCTGACTGTTTCCTGTCTCCAGTCTTCAGGGATACGGCCCCTCATTTCAGATCATCTTCTGATGGTCTTAATGGACAGATAGTCTCTCAAAAATGAGAGTTTTAATTGAAAAGACCACTCCTGCCACGCCTATGCACTGTTTAATGGGCAGAAAAAAACTCTATGCTTTAAAGCCATATGGAAGAGATGAGAGAAGAGGCTGATGCTCACTGCTTAAAGAATTCTAAAGAAATGGAAGAAGTTGCATCCATATACATGCTTTCCAATTGCAGATAGATTTGAAAGCTTTCATGAGTGATTTAGGCCACAAATTTTTGCTTTAAACAGAGGTACTCAGGAAAATTTCTTACAAGCCCCCGAGCAATTAGTTCAGCTGCTTTCTTTTGTCCACCTACCCATTGTGTTCTTTGTGAAAACTATTCTCTTACACCTCCACTTACTCCATCCTCTGAGACACCATTGGAAATCCAGGGCTCTGAGTTGAACCCACAGTTGGTTTAAGTGTAATGAAGTGTATGTCATGTCTCCGGCTCTCTCCCTCTGGCTTCCCCTCACCCCCTCACCTCTGAATGCACTGCTTTTGACAGGAAGGCCTCTGTGGCTTCTGCTGCAGTGATCTTTAGCCCCTTCAGGTCCCACTGACTATTTAGGACGTTCCTCTTATGTGAGGGTGGAGTCGACCGTTCTCGTGTGCTTCGGAGCATTGACTGTGGAAAAATAGACAGATAGATTGAGGAAAACCTTAGGACAACTAAACCAACCCACTCTGATGACTGGTTCCATTTAAGAAATGAAAAAAATAACAAACTATTCCCTGTTCATATTTATCAATAATATATTGTCTGCTTATTCTAAAATCCTGTATTGATAGTGCTTACAACCCACACTGGGGGCCCTGCAATGTGCACATTTGCTCTGTGGTTTCTTCTATTTATCTATAATGTGTGTTCTACCCCTACAGTGTACAAATAATAGAAACCATGGCAACAGAAGTCAGGTGCAGTTACTGGAGAAAGGACCCAAGCTGAGCCATTTCAGATGATGCTTATCTAAATTTCAACATATATTGACTCATCTCAGTATCTGTTTTTTTTATCTGTTTTTATCATATACTCAATCTGTATGCAGATTAGGGAGGACGCATCCTGCACACAGCACTTGTGGCGCGCGCGTGTGTGCTTAGGAGGCTGCGTGTGTGATTTAGAAGCTTTTGAGTATGCAACTGTGTTTGTTTCTCAGTGCACATCTGTGCGCGGAGGTGTGTCCGTGCATGGATATTGCAGCTTGGAAAGAGTGTACATGTCCACTACATTAGACAGAGCGTACGAGGGGTGCCTCAGCGTGTGTGTGCTGCTGTCTGTTCAGAGCTCTCTGCGCCAGCAGGGTGCGCCATTCCAATTTGCCCATCAGCTACAGAGGCAGGGGGTAAGAGCGCGGGGCATCGCTGTCGGAGATTTCACATTCAAGGGACAAGATTACCTGTCAGGGGACCCCTGTGTGGAGGTGATGAGGGAGGGCGACTGCAGGGGCACAGTGTGGGGCAGTTGGGACTGTTGGAGAGGGGAGGGGGTGGGGGCTGAAATAGGGGAGGCAAGCACGATTCGAAAACACCATGGAATCCATGGGCTCTCGGTTTTGTGGAGAACATTGTTGCCAAGCTTCACATCTGTTTGACACCAGGCTCTGTGGTATGGCAGTCAGGGGCTGTCTATCCTGATTCACATCTCTTTACTTTGTTGTAAAAATCTGGACAACTGCTGGGGTTCTTTTGTCTGAAGAGATCTTTGCTAAACCGTCTGTTATGTCCTTCATTTAAACGAAAAACCCAAGGACAAAGAAAGCATAACGCTTGCCATAATTTTATTTAAGGTTTTTCATTTGCTTCCCTGCAGTCATACTCCAGAAGAAATTGTGTATCAAATGATTCCAGAACAGAATCAAGTTATAAAATCAGTTTGATTTTGTTACTTAAGACGCACAGGCCCAGCTTGCTCCCATTCATGCAAACACTGCTTGCATTTGAGTGTCAGCCAAGTCAGCTATGGCTGCTTTAGAGACCCCATCAGGGAGACGGGACATTCCAAACAGCATAACTCATTCTCCACACCATCTCTGTTGCCATTAGTTAATTATATGCAGGTGTTTTCTTTTCTTTTTTTCTTTCTTTTTTCTTTTTTTTTCTTTCAATGTAATAAAAATGCAACCATAAGTACATAAAGCCAGAAAGGCAGCAAAAAAGGGAAGAGGAAAACAGTGTGGAGGAAGTGGCTGAATGTGCTGTGTGAAGCAAATTATTGCCCCATGTAGATTCATCAGTTCTCCCTGCTGGATTAAGGAAGGGCCTTTCTAATGAAGTTCGCCCCATCAAAATGAAGGGACTAATTCTGATTTAGCTGAGGTAATGAACTTCCCCTCTCCTAGTGAGAGCAGTACCATGGGGTGAGGAAAGAGGGGTGGTTGTGCAGTGGAGGAGGGGGCAAAGAGAGTGGCAGCAAGAGAGAGATGGAAACAGGTCGAAGACAAGACAGCAGAGACACATGGAACGAGCGTAGAAAAAGTAAGAAGAGAGAGCGAAAGCAAGGGGAGAAGGAGAAAAAAATTATGCAAAACGGCTGTCTCGTATTTGCTGAGATGTATTAAATTTCCAGTGCGAGTGCCTGTGTTATATAAAATTATGTTAATGTCTTGTGGCCCGCTGCGAATGGCAGCTTGCTGGTCCTGAGCATGCGTGGCTGGCCGCTACACAGAGCGCACTCAGTGGGACTCAGCTTTTCTATTAAGGAAAACCTCTAGACACCTGATGATGAATTCTCTCTCACCAAATGTTCCCCCTTTTTTGTGTCGAAAATATGAGCGCTTTTCTAAATGACTTTGGAGAGTCAGGCGTGGCGCTTGGCGGCCTGCATCTAGCAGGGGGGAAAGGGGTATGAGGAAGAGGAGGGGGGTCCCTCTGCAGCGGACTAAGGGAGTCAATTAAGGAAAGCACTGATAATTATAAGACGGCAGAACGCAGGGGCAGGCTAATTGTACAGTGTTCCATGCCGCGAGCCCGGCCAAGGGGCCTCTCCTCAACTCTCTCCTTCCCCCTTTCTTTGTGTGGAGCACAAATCCCACAGAGCCTCATACCTTAACTTGACAATGCCACAGTGAGGCAAGCAAAAAATAGCCGGGCATGTGCCCGTAATTAACTTTTTACATTCAGGGCACTCACTCTTTTGAGACTTGGAAGTAAGTCTGGTCTATATTCACACCTCATTTCTTTTTTTTCCTCTTTTCTTGCCAGGAAGTTTTTCTCTGCCTGTCTTACAGTTTCTTTGCTTGTTTTAATTTTACTCCGCACTTTTCATAGTGACTTCAAGTCCAGTCTTGGAAAGTCAGAGCGCAGTCACTTGACCTTTATTTCCTTCTAAACAAGAATAAGCCAAGCGGTTAAGGAATAGGCATGTATATAGTAAATTAGACCATTTCAGTGTCGAGTGGTGTTTGTGTGGCTGCAGGGGGTCAGGCTCTCCATTCAATCCATCTCAGCAGTCTGCACTGTTTGTCCCCAACGGACCTCCGTAGAGCCTGCAGCTGCTGCGCCTACATATCATTCGTTAACAAGTATTCGCCTCTTGCCTTTGTTGTTGTGGATTTCTCGCCTCTCCTTTTTTCCTATCCTCTGCCTCTGTGACCTGAGCACTGTTCATTTGACAGATTTTTTAACAATTGCGAATGTTGTTTTGTTCAGTTTTTTAGAATAGCAGGTAATGTTGTAACACAAAATGGCAAACTATTCATTGTAACTCCTGATAAAGATTCATCTGCTGTCAACTATTCTCCCATTAACTTCCTGCAGAGTTCCAACTTGAACTCAAAGTCTGTTTAGGCTTTCAAATTGCTCTTCAACATGTCTTGACAGATCTGTGTTTAAAGGCTTTGAAGCTTTATGCAATTATTTTTTTCCAAGTACGAACGCATACTTGCACAGAATACCAAGTGAAAACACAACAGACATAAATGTTAATGGGGAGAAATTATTTGATTTAACTTAAGTTGCTATTTCAGATGCTCTCATTAAAGAGGTCAGTAATCAAGGTGTGTACTTTATGCTCAGTGTAAGTCATGCAATGAGTGACAAATGGGGAAGTGACACACAAGTCTCCTTTCTCTATTTTGAGACACCTCTGTCATCCTGCCTGTGACCTGAAAATCGATCTCAGCATGACATTATGAAGGATGTCTCAATTCTTAGAAAGGATCTGTAGACGAGAAACGCAATGAGCATGGATGCCCAGGCGTTTCCTCTGCAGGTGTCTTTAATACCCATAAAATACTAACAGACTTTTGATAATATTAAGTAAAATTCCATTTCGGAAAAATATCCGTCCATCCATTGTCTCTACCGCTTATTCCTGGTAGGGTAATGGTGGGTCTCAGCTGTCATTGAGTGAGAGGGGTGGTACACCCTGGACAGATCGACAGTCCATCACAGGGCCACACAGAGACAACAGCCACACACATTCACTCCTATGGGCAATTTGAAGTCTTCAGTTAACCAAACGTGCATGTTTTTGGACTATTTGCACACAAACAAAGGTTAGGATTTTGTAAAAAAAAAGTTTAGGTATACTACAGATTGTTCGAAAGCAGGGAAGTGATGAAACATCTGTTCCATGCATATTTGGTTGGCATTGCAGATGACTAGTCTGAAGTAAGCCTTAATCGCTCTGCTGAATGCACATTGCCTCAGCCTCAGCCCCTGCCCAACTCCTTTTTAGCTCCACTGGTTGTTGACCAAGCTAAATCTGACACTGACGGTCAGAAATGAGTTCTGGTGCATTTTTCTTCCCTTACGGAAAGATCACTGCAAAGCTGGTGCCCCAACACAAAAAGAATAACTTCAGAAGATGCTATACATGACATACAGTAGACTAAAACAAAGTAAATGCTATAGTTGCAACCTTTCATTTCATCCTTTATTTGATGATTTTGTTGCATCAACTGTAATCGTCCCATCAATGGTTTTGATGGCTCTGTAGTGTCTGCTCATATCTCAGGTTAAAAGGACTAAGATAAAGCGTGACAAGACGAGGTGCAAGAGAGAAAAGATGGACAAAGTAAGAAAAGAGAAGTGGTGATCCAATGAAGCCATGCAGTCAGTCTAATGTCAGAAAGTTGACTATGGCTTTAAATTACCCTGACAACTATTTTTTGGAGATTGGGGCAGGACTGAAATATAGAAATAAAATATAAAAAATCTAACCTGCAGACAGGGCAATATGCATGCATTTGTTTTCTTATATTACTTTTTTAACTTCACAAATCTAGGCTGTCTCAACCCAGAGGTACCTGCTCAGTGTGTTTTTGGAGAAGGAAATCTGTTCTTGTGTTTTGTGAAATTCAAAAGGTGTTCTAGTTGGCTAAACCCATGGTAACATCCATTCAAGCGTTACGCATGTTTATCATGACACAAAAACCTGTCAGTTTGTTGTTTCTACCTCTGGCCTGGTGGCCAAGGGAGCTGTGAAGCGGTTAATGTAGGCACAGAGTGCCTGATCCCAGCAGGAGCCAAGCCCTGCTCTGATTAGCACCTCCAACGAGCTGCCATGCATCAGAGCTGACATTCTTCCGGAGTCGTGTTCCCCCAGAATCCTTTGCTCTTGCTGTGTGAGGGCATCAGCACCACTTTTGACAATTCCAATGCTCTGCCCTTGTTTGTCCCTCTGCAGAAATGTTTGAAAGTTAGGACCCAACAGGAAGATCGAGCCACATTGTTTCCCTAACTTTCACTTTTGTCTTAAATATGGGTTTTACACGCTCACTTTCATACAGAGATAAAGTTTGTCTTTCCTGCTGTGGTTGTATTCAGTATCTATGATTTTAACAGTTTGTGTACAACCAAATTTACCTCGCTATTTGTGTAATACATTAACTCTGGATTGGGTGCATTTTTGTTATAACAGAATTTAATCCATTCTTCAATTTCAACATTTTGCTCTTGATTTACTCTGTCCTTATCAAACTGCGGAGGCAGCAAATAGATATTAGTAGTGTTTATGCCAGGCACCTGCTCTCCAATCAGGTTTGGTCCAGGGGGAGTCAGTCCCTCTGCGCTCCCACCTACCACCTTCCAACCCCCATACTCAACATTCTTCAGTCCTTAATGGCCCTCGTGGTACTTCTGAAATGAGCTCGTGCCTCATGAGCGGTGCCTCTACCTCAAGAGAGCACACCACACAGAGGTGGAGTCAATTTGTATTCACCCATAATTCCCTGGGCCTTAATCACTCTGATTTTTCCCCCATTATCTGTTAATGGATAGTTCCTGCAGAGAGAAAAGAGAAGCGAACCCACCTACTGTTTACAGGCCTGCAGCTGTCTCCTCTGTAACCATCTAGAATTCTGTAGTGGGTTGTATATACAGCAGTGGGTCTACTGAACCCCAAATTTCCTCGGTTTATTAACACATAACTCCAACATCAGGCAGAATAATACCTGACAGATGGTAAAACTGACGGCAAATTCTTGCTAAAGGTGGAATTCCTCATAAGCTTGCTAGCTCTGAGCAGGTAATTACAGCTTTAATGTCTTTAAGTTGGACAGTTTAGAAGCTCAACATTGCAGTGACGTGTTATTTTGAGAGGGCAAGCTTTGATTATGATGGTGGTTCTGTCTGTGCTTCTCCACAACAACCCATTCCTGACCACTAAATATTCTCAATTTGTCCTCCCATTTGTTTATTCATTACTCAGAAGTGGCCTGATTGATGTCCTTAATATCATCTACTGTTGCGACACAAGGCAACTCGGGCCCCTGCAAGTGTGAGCTTCAGAGAACCATTCACTGTGCCCCAGAGAGGAGTGTAAATCTAGGTATCAGATTTTTGTTGTGTAAAACCAAACGCTCCGGTTCGAACTGCACCTCAGCAGAATTGTTTAAATAGAGGAAGGAGCACTGGTGACATCGGAATGAAATAAAAGCCAAGGGATATTTTTTTAATTAAAGAAAGCCCTGCGTTTCACTTAATTACAGGCTATTGTCGGAAGTTTAGACTTTCTTCACTTGCTTTAGTCTCAGTCAGTTAATCATTTGTAAGCTCAATATCGGTATTGCGCACAATGAAACATCTATCAAGCCCACACGGACACTGTTAACACTGCTTTAAACCTGCAGTGTACAACAACTGTCGAGTTCACGGAACTATACAGGCCTCTGCATCCCGAGCAGCCTTCCACAGCACATGAACTTCAGCTTGGATAAAGAAGCAAACACCACTAAGAAATAAAGACCATTCTCTGCGAGAGTAGTTTTCCTCTCTCCCTCTCCTGTCCTCCACATGGGAGAGATATTAGGCGTTTGTGTTTTAAGGAGCTGTGAAATACATAAACCATGAGCCACAGGAACGCAAGGCCCTGTGGATATGCAGATGGGCTTACTTTGCTGGTGTCAGGGATGCTTAGAGGGAGCAGACACAGGAGCAGTTCTCATCTAAAGGATTTTATTGGGAGTGCAGGGGGACAGGGTGGTGACAGTGGAGAACACTCGGGAGAGTCAGAAACACGGAGTGGGAGGAGGGAGAGATGAGGATAGAGGGAGAAAGCTGACAGTCCCCTGTGGCCCTGTAACTATATCCAGAGTCTGCTCAGTGCTTAGAGAGGGGTGGGGGCCCATGCAGGGCCTTGCTGATTGGGCAGCCCCTGAGATGGGCTGTGGGAGCAACAGGAAGTGACCTCAGCCCAGTGAGGCTGCTATGGGGTTGAGCAAGCTGACTTCCTCCCTTGGCTCTCACTAAGAAACAGGCTGCCAGCCTGATTCAGTCCGTTTACACTGTTGAATACAAATTTTAGCATTAAAGGCAGCTTTAAAGTGAAAAGAGTACCATTTGTTCCCAGTGACAGTCCTGTACGTTTCTGCCTTTTCATTGCTGTTCTCAAAGATTGACTCTACAAAAATACATTTCCCAGTGTCATTAAATCACTTGACAAGACAATTATTTGATCATTCCACCGTCTGTTACTGTAACCACAGGCATTTCAAAGTTAACATCTGTCAGCGATCATTTTGTACCAGAAAATATATAAAAGGAACCAGTATCAAGATGTAATTCGATGTTTTGACATACATACGCATATATACCGATAAAGCAGACATTCATTGAACGTGAAGCATCCTGAATTTATATCTCTATTCTCCCCTGTTGCACCTGCTCCACAGACAAAAACATACACAAGGTCAGTTATGCAGGTGCAGAGTTATACACATAATGAAGCAGACCAGGTCTCCAAAGGGACAGCCTTGTACACTAGGGTCAAATGAGGGCTGCACATATGGCCGAGGAACGGATCTGTGAGCGTTGCCACTAGCTTGACCTTAGTGTGCACCCTTACACAGATAAGCAAACTGAACGGTGATCAAAGAGGACAGTGATCCTCTTGCACGACTGCATGGATGCACTCATGCTGCCCTCCTTCCCCTCGATCGCTGATGCCTGCTGCTACACTCAGATGCACATGTAGGCTACAGAGTAACTCATCTGTCAAATGCATGATCGCAGAACACAAGACAAACTTGCACCCTTTTAACTATTACGGGCTTCTTTGATCGCCTTTTAGCTTTTGCAAAAACAGTCATGCAGGAATGTTGTCTGTTGGCTTGTGATGACACACTATTCGTGTTATTTGTTACACTGCGTTTGTGGTGGATTATGTATTTGGGGTTACTTAGAAAAGAACAGTGGAGGAAAAATGTGCAAAAATGCATTATGGTTAGAAGTTCAATATGTATACCCTCCCATTGTTTATTTTGGCACTGCCGGAGATGTTTCAATTCCCCTCTTTTCCTGGCATATTAAGGGTCATTGGGTTCCAGTTGTCACTGCTGCTTAAGTTCAGTTCTGAGGTGAACAGGCTGAAATTCTTGTTTTTTATATAGACAGCTTCAGTTTCAATAAAGTTAGGTAAAATTATTGTCATTGGCAAAAGGATTGAAGAGCTTCTGTTGTGTTAAAAGAAGCCTTTAGTAACTATCCCAAAAAGTTAAATGAAAATGTGGTGTTGAAAAGACTTACCATGACCAAAAAACTGAAAATATGATATTTCCAACGAAAACATGATCATTAGGGGAATTTGTACTGGACAAATGAAAGAGCCTCTAAAATGATTGAAGGATCAGAATTGTAACAGTTTCTTTTCTTTGGGTTACTTATCTAGGGGATACTTTTCTCTTTTTTGTAGCCCAAAACATCTTCAGTGGAACCTTTTAGCTGTATTAGGTATATTTGATTCCGATGTCCTGCGTCGTTGACACTGAGTTATAGAGACATGGGGGGAAAATCCCCAAGGTATCCACCCCACACCCAGCCCTAATGTCAGGCTTGGCAGAAGTTTGATAGAGCACAGAGTAGCCCTGTGACCGAGGGTTAAGACCTTTTATTGACATGCTGTATATGGACACCTCAGTAAAAATCTGAGTCAGCAGGTTTTTCTGATGCAATTAAATGTCAGTCTACCGTTGTGATATTTTTTCAGCTATCAGTGGCTGTAGATGGGGTAGCATAGTGTTTATATGGATGTGATGGGTTTTCTAATATCAGTAAACCATAGTCTATCTTTTGTAAAGGTGGCAGATCAGTCATGTTCACAGATACATTGATTTAGCTCAAATTTGGGGATGGCATAGAAACATTATAAGATCTATATTTCAGTAGTTTATTTAGGTAGCATTGTTTGATTATTGTGGATTTATTTTCATTCATCAAAGGACATATGCCTATTTCTTGCACCATTTAGACATCCATCAAATTTCTCTTGATTCACAAATGCTAAAAAAATAAATACATTGCCATGCAAGGTAATCAAAAAGATGTTTCAGATGCACGGCCTCATTGCAGCAATGAGGACCCCGACTGGTCATGCAATTTATGCCTGAAGAGAGCAGATCACATGTTTTATTTTTTCTCCTTTTAAATATGAAAATCACAGACAGGAGTCTGCCACAAATTTGTTAAATCTGCAATGTGAAAAGGTAAAAAGAAGTGCGAGTGGAGAGGTGAAGCAGAGTGAGACCTTTACTACTCCCTGGACATTTATGCTCTGTTTATTTTTCCTCTAATGGTTTTCTGTGTATTTGTGTTGTCTCTTCTTCACAGAGGAAGGACTGAACCATGAATGCAAGCTCTGTAGTCAGTCATTCGACTCACCAGCGAAGCTTCAATGCCACCTGATTGAGCACAGCTTTGAGGGCATGGGTGGAACATTCAAGTGTCCAGTCTGCTTCACAGGTTAGTATTATCTCTACAAGTCTGTGTGCACTGCAGAGCCAGCTGAATGATGAAAAATTCCAAATTAAAACATAATATCTTTAGCATTTTAAAGCCTTTTGCATTTTTACGCAAAGCCTTTCACACCTTTCATGAGTTTGAAACAAGTAAATGCTTTCTGAATGAGTTGGGAAAGGGAAAGCAAACAAGCTAAAGCTGAGAGCAGTTGCATCTGGCTTTTCTACTGAGTCAAATTGCCTCCAAGGCAAGGCCAAAGAAGAGTCATAAGGTGAGAAGGGGGGAAAGAGAGAGACCGAGGTGGAAGACAGTGAGAGCTGAGGGGAGATGGGGGATGGAGGACTGTAGAAAGAAAAGGAGATGTGCTAATTGTGGATGGCAGTGGTGCTGATAGCTGTAATGATCTCATCTGTCTCCGTGCGTGGAGGTGGAAGGACCGGACTCCTCCTGAGAGGATAGCGCCCTCCTTCAGTGTCAACAGGGTTAACTATCTCTATAATGAAATCTGCAAAGTCGTTAACTTCAGCTCTTCACTCTTTCGCCCATCTCAGCTCTTTACTCTTCCAAACACTTTTTGGGTCCTCAGCTCATTTCCCCCCTCGTACTTCCTCCAACACCCACATCCAACCCTTCACTCATAGACAAGAAAGAACCAACTCATTTACCTCTCTTTCACTTGTTAAAACAATTGACATCATTATTTCACATTTCGCATTATGCTTTTGTTCAATTACATCTTCATCTACATATCCACCTCACTTCCAAGCTATTTATTCATTCCCCTTCTTTCTCCTCACTATCCTCCGTCTACTCTACATTGCTGTTTTGGCTTTATCTCTCTTTTAGAAGAAGCCTATTGATATTTCCCCACGCCAAACCTCTCCTCCCTGCAGCCCTCAGAGGGGTCTGAGCATTTAATATACAGAGCATGCCTCCTTCATCTGAGCCTTCATTTTCCAGCGCCAGCTTTGACAGACAGGTCCCCCCTCTCCCTCTGCGTCCATATCGATCACGGTGCATGAGAGAGAGGGATGCTAGGCGGTATAGGGGAGGAGGGAGAGACAGAGTGCACCCTCAGGACAGCGGCCGCAGAGCAGACAGACAGATGGGTGAAGGCCTATGGGCGGGTGGAAAGCAGGCAGTGGATAGTACATGATGAACTGAGAGGCCTCCCTCTGTTGGGGAGACAGGGGACAGGCAGACTGAACTGAAGTCAGTTTGCATGGAGGAAATAAAGCAATGGAGAGATTAGCTGACAGCTGTCCTTGAATATATTTCTTCAGGCTGAATGTTGAATATATAAGGGAGAAGACACCCTATTATTATTTAACTTTTGTTTTTTGATGAATCTACCATCAGGACTTGCATTTGTGTTTTGCGCAATCAAGTTCTATTTTTTATTTTTCGTTTGAGAACACACAGGATGGAGGATGTAGAATTCAAAACTTTCACTTGAGGAAAAACAGCAACAGAGAAAAAAAGAATTTCAAATCACACACCTTTGACTAAACTGTATACACATCTAAAAGGTAGAAAATACAAAGCTAACCTTGAACAGCCCCATTTGAAGAGTCCCACAATACGATAAAAATCAGCTTCTGCTTTTAGTATTTAAAATCTAAACTAAAACAAAACTATTTGTGATTAAGTGTGTACAAATGCACACGTTTCAACTGTCACCATAAGAATCTATAAAAGAAACTCCAGAAACAAAGAAATACAGCATCATAATAGGACACATTTGTCAGTATTTGAATGGAAACACAAATGTGTCTTAAACTTAAGCACTGATTCAACTGATAAAAAAAGTATCATGCTAAATCATAAATACTTACCATAAACAGTTACTGAATGAATATGTGAACGGTGCATAAACACATTGTTTGCCAGCATTTGTACAAAAATAAAAGTTCTGAATATGCAGAACTATAATTAGATTATTATGCAAGCAGCCTCTTTATGTCACGGCCTGTTCAAATGTTTTTTAATCTAGGTCATCATTTTCCATAAGAAGACCACGTTTTGGTACATGAAAAGTTACAAAGGAACTAAAGTATCCCAATTTAGCGAAACAGATGTGGAAATTAACACGCTGTGGCAATTGTTCATGTTCTTTATTACAGACGTGAATGCACTTTAAGCAAGCTTTACTTAAACATAATTTGGTCAACTGCTGAGGTTTCTGTTTATTTGAGGTTGGACAGAATCATTGTGTGCACTATATGTCTTTTTTGTAACAGATAAAACAAATGCCAGTTATGGGTGTAATGAGTCTGAACATGAAAGTAAAACTTTGATCAAACTGGGTGGTGGCAGTGATAGCACCGGGGTGGTTGAGTTCACTCATTCAACAAGGTTACTCTTTGTTTAAAAAGACCATTCCCGCTTCTATGCCCATAACCGTTTTAGTTTGATCTGCTCCCTTGTGACCCAAAACGCAGTGGGAGGCAGGGACTGACTGTCACTCTTTGACACACCTGATTATTCTCGATCCATACTCGAGCAACTGGTGAGGGGACAAATACTACCAGAAAAATCGCGGGGAAAAGTAAGTTTCAGGCACATTGAAGGCAGACAAAATAGAGGAGAAAAAAAAAAGACAAAACTTAGAGGAAGCTGAGAAGGTTGCAACTGGCAAGTTTGGATGTGAGATGAAAGGAGGGAAGTGGAGGAGGAAAAGAGAGCTGTGTAGAGGAGGGAGGGTAAATGGAGAGAGGTCCATAAGCCCCTGGATGATGAGAGAGAGGCTGACTCTCCCAGGACAGATTTGACAGGTTTCAGAAGTGGGGGAGCCTGCAGCTAGAAGTGTCTGCCTGCACCCTTAGGAGCAGTAGGGAGGGCTGGTGTGGAAATTGTGATTGGGAATATGTGCTTAAGACAAACAAAACAGAGGAAAGTGTGCCTGATGAAAGTCCTGCATGTGTGTAAGTGTGTGTGTGTGTGTGTGCGCTTTTCTTTTACTTATGTCACTGCGTGAGGAACAAACTCGAAAAACTACAGGATGCACAGCTTTCGAAATCACACAAGTCTGACAACTGAGATAGTTTAATTAGCTTGCTTAGAAGCTGCACATATTCTTCCTGGCTATGATGACAGAATTATGACATCTTACGTGTAATAAGAAAAGACAAGGCCTAAGCTTTCATTCAGAATTAGAAGTGGTCAGCTCACAACTTAAATTCAACATGCTCTGCTGACTTATTTGTTTAGCCTCAGAACATTAGGAACAGCCTCTGAATTTTGAACCCCTTGAATGTAGCAAAAATCAACACATGCAGGCTCGATGAATAAATAAACGAAAAGGAGAAAGGCGGAAAAGATGAACTTATTTTTCTTCCCTGCACAAACAGCTTAGTATTGGTGCAGTGCAGCCTGCAGAGAGCACCACCCTGCCAAAATAAAGATGAGTTGGGGCCTGTAAAGGAGACGTCTGCCATGGGCGGCCCCTGAGATCTAATCAGAGGGCTTAATATCCCCCACAGCGAGGAGACCTTGGCCCCTTAGCCCCCTCAGCCCTGACACCCCTGACGCCCAACCCGGCTCAGCGCTCTGTGCAGCTCAGCTCTGCTCTAGCTCCACAGCCAACAAACTCCACAAAGTTCTCTCTCTTTCTCTCCCTCTCACATTCTCAGCAGGGAGAGACACAATGGCCAGCCACTGATCCTCTTTGGATGTGGGTTTGGATTATTTCTTCCTCGTTTCTCCATGTCCTCATTTTAACCCTCTAGGAAAACACGCCTCTGTTCCTCCTCTGAATAGGCAATCCCATCACATATTTTATAGGTGCCAAATGCCAGCAGAATGTCCCTGTGTAGCCCATTTCTGCTTATCCCTTTACAACGCATTGCATGCTGATTTGAGAAACAACGGCGGCAATAATAAAAGAGTTTTCCAAAATCGTAATTAATTAAACAGTTACCGCAACATAACTTTGAATTTGCAGTCATCCTTTCCAAACACAAATAGAACACAAGCCTTAAAGATGTCAGAACTGACCTAGCTACAAAGTTGTTGGGGTTTCATTTACACCATTGTCTTAAATGTCTTTAAACCTTTTTCCTGTTTAGTATTTATTGATCTTACAGAGGACTTGGTGGTGCCATTAAAGTATTTTAAGCCTCGGCACTTTAAATCCCTCACTCTCCTCTTGCATATAAACGAATGCCGAGTCATAGATTGATAAATGCATAGCTGATTAAATGCACCTCTCACTGGTACTGGACCAGAAATGCATGTTAACAGCAAGTAAAAGCTAACTTGACATCTCAGTTGTGCTCGGCCCTGTTGTACAGTGTTTGAAGGCCCCCCCAAGTCTCAAATCCATTTTTATTTTTGCTGTATTGACTTTTTCCTCTTCTAGCCAAAGACATAATGAAGGCTTCCTGCCGCTGCTGTGGCCTGCTCCTCTACTGTATATGCAGACAAAACACAGCCGAATGAAAATGCTATTTGCACATTTTTACTTCCAGAGCATGTGGTCCTCACAAATAAAGATGTTGTTTTTGGAGCCGCAAATGAGAACAATGTCCAAGCTCTTAACCTGGAGTGGGTGGGGTTAGTAACAAATCAGCTGGGAATCTGCATTTCTCTTTTAACCTCTTAGATGTTCATTAGAGATTTTTTCGTTATTGGTTACAAGCTGCTATCTTCCAGAGACAGCTGTCACCCAAGCATTAGCAGTCTCTCAGTGCTCCCAGTTTGCCATGGGTCCAAACTTTGATTGCCCAGGTCAGGGTTGTGACATTCATTGTTGTCCAGTTTTTTCTAATATCCACACAATTAAATGCTTAATAACCACTCTCCCAGGTGAGCTTGAATCGGGACTTGTTAAAGTTGCAAAGCCCCACCACCACTGGGCTGCAGTGACCCCCAAAGCTCTCTCCTACAGGAACGTCACCTTTTATGGCTTTCCTTGTCTTCCTCCCTGTTCTCTTGATCATCTTTGCACAAAGCAGAAGACAAGTTATTTTGAGTTGTAAGAAATTCAAATTAAGGTCCCACATGCTAACTTTTCCAAACCTTTGAGATTAAACCGCCATCTTTAAAGCACTGGGGTCTGAGATAACAAACGGCATGTTTGAAGTGCTCTTTGGAGAGCATGCCGACACACAACTGCACTGACACGCACACATATGCAGCCTGCGCACAATCGCATCCCAGTTAGCTCTTCAGTGTGGACTATGGCTTAATTAAAGCACAAATGTATGGTATATGTTTTAAGCTCTGGCGTGTTGTGTGTTTATGTGATGGCGAGGGGTGTCAAAGTCTGCATGAATAAGTAGTGGAACACCATGAATATTTATATTGTCAATATAATTAGCGATGTAGACTAATGGAGGCCATATTTTGCACTTGAAGCCATGCCAGTTTTTGTGGTTGTTTATTTTCTGGCTTGTTGTCCCCACAGCAGCACTAAATAAAGAGCATCATTATTCCCAAAACATTATGCATTCACGAGCTTTAGTGCCACAAGTATGACCGCTCCAGTTACTGTTCACATAAAAATTATTTTTTCCATTCTTGTTGGCTCATTTTATCCCAATACAGAATGTATCTAATAACAATGATTACTTTGTGTGTTAAAAGGGTAGTCATTTGTTTTTTAATTAAGTAGCTTTCATTGTTATTTCAGAAGAAGAATTTTTTGTGTCTTGTTTTACTTATAATTTTGGCTTTAGGGTGACAGCAAGACATCACTTTGAAATACATTTGATTTGGTGAAAAGATAAGATTGTAATTTAAAAAATTTTGAAGTAACTTTTACACATTTAATTTCCTTTCCTCTGTATGTGTTCAGTGTTCGTCCAGGCCAACAAGCTCCAGCAGCACATCTTCTCTGCCCACGGACAGGAGGATAAAATCTATGACTGCTCGCAGTGTCCGCAGAAGTTCTTCTTCCAGACAGAGTTACAGGTAAGCCTTTGGGTGATTGCAACTAAAGGGCTGGTAGCGCAATGTCTTACTGCTAATCACACATGACAGCTTCACAAATATTAAACACCACTCATCAGGCTCTGGCTATCCTCTCTATCCCAACCGGGATGAGCGACTCAGAAGGAATTATTTTGGTCCGTTTCCAAAACTCATTTGTGATGTGCAGATATGATTTGATTTGCTTATTAGACCAGCGGAGCACTAAAATATCTGGAATTAGAGGATTAGTGGAATGCTCATTTTTGAAGAGGTAATTACATACAGTGCAGAGGCAAAAACACAGTTGAGTCAATATGCCTGCATCTCCCTTCCTAATCACAGAGGAGGCCTTGTGGCTAAATATGAGCTTTGTCCACTGGGAGACCGTATCTGCCCTTCAACAAAGTTAGTAGTTGGACTTATGAACTCGCAATGTTAGAGAGATAATCCATTTTCTAGCAATCTTTTTCTCTGGTCCTTGGAGAACCTGAAAAAATGAAACAGACCTTATTATATTATTTCACTGCGGTGGTGTTTTCAAGCAGCTCTGTTTTGTTTGGGGGATTCTCTATCATACACACTTCTCTTATCCAGATCCTTTTCTGTTACCTTTTTAAACGAAGTTGCTAAAATATGGATCGTGTATAAAAATCCTCCCTCAATGTAATCACGCAATTATTCCTAATTCATCTTGGTATGCTGAAAAACACCAACTGCTCCTGACCGCATCCTCCTTGTGCATCTTCGCAAAACCCCGTGTATAGTGTTGTGTATTAGCTGATAGCCAGAGGAAGTGTCCATTGATTGGTGGTGATTTTCATATTGAGATTCTGGTTGTAAACACAGAAGTCTGTGTCTGCCAGGAGGAAGGTGAAAGTGATCATTATCTGCTGGTCATTCGAGCATTGCTTGCATGAATAAAACAAGTTCCGATCCACCAACCTGCAACTAATCTGCAGAGAAAATTATTTAACAAGCTTTACATTCAACGAGCTGCCAATGTTGAGGCCTTTCATTTGTCAGACCCCCAATTTGTCACATTTTCAGCTCTCATTGGTACAAGTGTTTTTCTACATAGAAAGGCTTGCAGCAGATACCTGTAAACAATCTCAAATATCCTGGGGATATTTCCCTGCCTTTTTTTTTAGTGTTGTTGTTGTTGTTGTTTGACATTTTCTGAAATGAAGTGATCTCCCCCTCCCTGAGGTGATGTTTCATGCATGATTATATTGTTTTACTCTGTGTGAAGAAACAAGAGCAGAACATGAAAGACCTATGGCACTGTTGTGGAGCAGGGGGTTATGAAAGGGAAGCAGGAATGATCTTGGGGGATAAGATGATCATTATCCTTATGGTGTGAAAGCAGTCCCGTGTGAGTGCATGCTGACATGCTCTGACGTAGCTCGTACAGATACATGTGATATGTCTCGTGTCAAAAGAAGAAAATCCACAACCCGAATTGCTTTTGAGTATTTCAGTCGATTTAAGTGCACCCTTCCATTTCATTTTCATACATATTTTGCACTTAACTCTTGAACGGACTCATGTTGAAGTGGACTTTCTTCAGACTCTAGCTAAAACCTGACAAACAGCACAGGTTGGAGGCCTTTTTCTTGTTTTTTTGCCGTTACTTTTGCCCAGGCATCACACTTGAACATGTCTCGCTGACGCAGGGCAGTCGTTTGTCAGTCCGTCTGAAGTGAAGCTGTCTTCCAGCAGTGAGAGCTCCTTCTCTTTGCCTGGTCTTCGGTTTAGAGTTTCTCCCTATTTCTGCCTGACACTCTGGCCCACTCGCCGGCTACCTGGACTCCTCATCTCTCACAGTAGTCGGAAGGGTCAAAGGGCCAGTGCAAGCTGGGAGAAGGAGCAGCGAGAGGGAGAGCTGCCACGGCAGGTAAAGGGAAGCAGGAAAGATATTTTATTAATTTGCTGCTGAGATCCTGAAACAGACCAAAGGCTGTGACAGGTATCCAGTGCACCACTCCACATCCTCCCCCATCGCCTCCCCCCGTGAACTCTACCCTGCGAGGGGCTAGCCAATTTTCGCCAGCCTGTCGAGATGGATGATGGGAGAGCATCCGTCTAATCAGCCCTCCCAGGACCCCCCGCCCGACTGCCCCCCTCAGACCAACCAGATTGACTGACTCCTGGGTCTCCGTGCCCCAGAATCCCGATTCCAGTGGAGAATAATCTCTCTTGCTCTCCTTCTCTTTTTCCTCAATTTCTCTCTTTCCACCTTCTTTCTCAGACAAAAAAAATAAGCAGTGTGATGCGTAGACTACCATTCCCCTTGAAACTCTCCCGAGTACCCCTGTTCACCATCACACACTCGTACGCAGCCTCCACCCTGCTCATCCCTTTCCCTCAACCTATTAAAATATGAAGCAAAGTCTAGATATTTCATGAGGTGCTGATATGGAGGACACCTGGGCTGGCTGTGCAGTGCTCTCTCTGACCCTCAATTACTGCCCACCCCTCGAGCAACTAGCAGGCATAGCTTCACTTTACTCTCTCGTCCAAACAAGCGCCACTGTCTTCTCATTCCAGCTGTCCCCACGTGAGAGAAAATGTCCCAAGGTTCTAATAAAGACAATATTGCAAAGTGAAACTTTGCAAGAAAAAAAGCAAAACTTTTTTTGGTCTTTTTTTTTTTTCTTGGTGTCAGCTTCAGATACAGTAGCTTTCCACATTGCACAAAGAACTGAGCCGCTGACTATGCTGCCAGGCTGGATTAATTGGCCAGATTCATTAACTGATGGATGCACAGTATTAGCTACAGCTTAAATGTGACATTTCTATGCAGTGCACATCACTTGTATGGAAGTTCAGCTCTGATATTGCAATAACTACTGGAAGACTGCAATCAGAGGATTTTCTTCCGATGATCCCCAGTCCTCCAAAGACAAGACAATGAGTTTGAAGTTACACAACAGGGAAGATGACATTTTCTGCACGGGACTCCCTTGGTCCTTTTAAGCTGGGGTCTCTTTTATTCCCTCCATCCTCCAATTTCATTATAATTCCTTGGAAGTGACATGAGATTGTAAGTCGTGTGTTGTGTCGTGCCGTGATCGACGGAGGAGTGGAAGGACTGAGGTCCTGTATGACTTCTCCCTCTCCTCAGACGCCCGCAGGACACATACCTTAATTGGAGTGTCTTTTTTAAAAGGATTCCTTCAAAGACAAGCCTAAGCTCCCTGGCCTTAATGAGTGCTGAAAGTGACAAGAGCACATCTGCATCATGTTCTACTTCCCCGCTCAAATGAGATTCTCCTCTCCCCGTGTGATAGCCATTATTGCCAAGCTGTGGCCAATTCCACTGCTTTAATTAAGCATATTTATTGTCTTCGCGGTCACCAGGTCAGTGTAAACAGCAATGTTTGTCATATTGTCTGTCCGAGGCAGAAAATGTAAAAGAACAGAAAAGATGGAGGCAACAGAGTAAGGTATTTGGGCTTTCTAAAGAATCAAATAGTAGCGCTAATTCTCTAAATGATGGCTCTTAGACAATAATATTATAGGCCTGATTTTTTTTCTCATTCCCATTTCCATTGACTTTCTTTGCTATGACATAGGAGACCTAATTCCCCAGAAATTTTTCCACATCTTTTAATGAATTTTAAAATGCCCTAACTGCCCCAAGTCCCAAATGTGTCATGCAAAAGCAGAGCTACATGCATTTGTCCCCAAGTGTTTCTCAAACACCAAATTCTCTGTGAATGTCTTGATCTGCCAAGTGTGACAGCTCTTCAGGCATTTGAAAGCTGCATATATATATATTTATATTTCCTTTCATATGACAACTTGTTTTCTTCTTCATCACCCCAGGTGCTCAGAATACTGTCACCATTTCAAAAAGTTGCTTGATAAAATAAAACAACATTGTATTAGAAAAAATAATGTTGACTTGTGAGGCATCATTAATATTTAAGCTTATTTATAATCATGTACAACAGTGTGTGCACACTGCTTTGCACTGTAAATGGGGACATAAACACCCTTAGATGACTTGTGATGTATCACAATAGTTGTGTTCTAGTTTTGTAGGTGGATCAAAATTAGACAGCATGACAGACCTAATGATCCTGGGAGGGGTTTTTTTTCCTTTTTCAGTATGCTTGTGAGACATGTTTGTTGATACACATGTGTGTATGTGCTCTATGTATTTATCTTTGTCTTCATCTCTCCCAGGGTCTGATATGTGCATGCAAACACATTGTCTGGAGGGAAACATGACAAAAACTCCCAGAAGCCTTTGAGCTCTTCGTTTTTTCTTTTTCCTCTGTTGCACCACTGGGGAAAGTTAAATCCAAACAAAGAGAAGATGTTTGGTGTACTGTGCTACAATCCATCACCGGATCTCTTCCTCAAACACGTCTCTTTTACTTTTCATAGCTGACTTTTTCAACAACTTTGATAAATACCAGTTAAACTGCTTCGCAGGAAACTCACTGCAGGTTTAATTTTCCCTCTTTAGTGATTTGATTTTCAAGCGCCTGTTGTGCTGTTGATGTTAACAAAATGTAGCATAGGCCAGAACAAATAGCATTACAACAATTATTCTCCCCAGAATTCTCATCAGGACACCCGAGGGATTTAACTCTTTAGATTTAGGAAAGCATTTAGGAAAGCGTCAATTCTGTGTCAAGTAAAAGAAAAACAGATCATCCACCTACACGTTGTAGTGTGGAAATGCAAAATGTAGTCCAAGAAATCTGCATTTGTGAAGAGGCACATCAACTGCACCAGCACCGGAGAGTCAGGGGGGTGCTCTGTAGTATCCCTCGTCAAAATCTGTCCCTGACTGAAGTGGTTAAATGTGAAAGTAATTGTGTTTTGTTTCTGGGACTGACACGCGGAACCCCACAGACCCCATCTCCCTCCTAGAGACAGACAGAGATCCTCCCCCCTCGCTCTGTCTAATTAGAGGATGTAGCCCAGGGCTCATGTCCCAGGAAGACCCATCCCCCTCCCAAGATGGCTCCCCTAAGAAAGCCCTTAATTGGGTTCTTTAGTCATAGTCTTCATTTTGGCTGGAAAGGCATCTGTGTGTTGCTATCACCTCAAAATACAGTTTGAATCGCTCTCTTGTGTTGTTTTTTTTTTTGTTTCATTTTTGTTTTTTCCCTCCCCCTTGCTGGCCTTCTCTCCATCGCCTCTCCTCTTTCCTTCTCCCCTTCTCCCACTTTCTCCTCACTTAATGAGGCCCCATAATAACACAGCAGTTGTGCAGTTGTTTTGCTTCCTCAGTCAAACAGCGGGATCACTGCATAGTGTGTTTCTAGTACCATTCACTTGTCTACTTAGACAGGGTAATGAGTATCATTTGGAAGTACAAAGCACCAACGCACAAAAAGGGTGGTCCGTCATCTCCAGTTACACCTCAGAATTATTCGCTCGTGGTGGTTAGACGTCTAATCAAAACAGTTCCGACATTATGGGTTTGTAATATATCATTTCCACATAAATGCTCTGAAATCTATTGCCATGGTCAAAGCCAAGTGTTCTTACAGTATGACCACGACTCCCTAGAAAAACTCACTTCAAACAAGACAGTCTGTTTCCAAGGAGACGAGGCTGGTTGTGGTACAACAGTGTTTGGGGTCAACTTCCCTACGGCCTGATAAGTGATGACTGTGGAGAATGCCAACTGCTGTTTTATTTATTTATTTGATTGTGTTCTTCATTGGCTAAACTAGCCAGCGGTAAGCTTGGCCTGAGGTCAGAGCAGGAAGGATTACTCCCTCAGTGGACTGGTCAACAGTACGGAAAGCACAAAAGGAGGAAAGAGTCAATACGGGACTGAGTTCAACACACCATTAAAGATCAAGACAGAATGCAACCCTCCTGTCTTTCCCCAGTGTAGTTTCAAGCTACGAGAAAGTGCTTCACACTGCGGTGAATTTCTCATATAGAGGGGTCATTGCTGTATAAAGTCCACCATTCATCACACTAACATAAATAACCTTAGATTTGAGGCAAAATGATTCAAGTTTTTTATAGTATCCTTTAGTGAAATTATTTTATACCTTGATTAAATTCCAGAGCAATGGCTGTGACTATGGGTGTGCTCAGTGTTTTTGTGCACACATTCCTTACTCCAGATGCAGCTATGCACGCTTACTGCCTGTCAGGCGTGCGATGCTTTTAATCAAAGCTTAGAAGGGGATGTTTACACTTTTGACTGCTCTTCAAATTTTCAATCACAGAAAAACTTAAGAAGTCATGTTAGCTGCTGTGATTAATGGATCTGCTGAACTCTTCTAATTAAAAGGTATCTTAAAGCTAAATTAGATTTGATTCACAGCATCTGATTTGTGCTTGCATTCTGAAGTTGCACATCAGTTTACGTAAATAAAT